AGGTATTCTCTATACGATAAGGAAATGCTGGGGATTTCATATGCTCTCAGCCAATAGAGACATTATCTGGAAAGATACCCTAGAGATATGAGCGTGATGATGGAACAGCAACCAGCTACCACTTTCATGGAGCAAAACAATCTGTCTCACACACAAGCATGCTGGCCAAAAAGCGGTTATTTTGATAGTATCACGTCTGTGATAAAGTATATCCCAGGCAAGGCAAACGTGGTAGCAGATGCACTTTCACACAATTATACAGTCCAGACTTCACAAGTCCAGTTAGCTGCAGTTCTTTGTGTTGACGACTGAGAGTGGGAAGCATGGCTTCCCTCACTATATACAAATCTAGTTGCCCGTGATGTGTTGGTAAAACTCAATATTGATCCATATTAATCCATATTAGTATTAATATTAATATTAATCCATATTAGTATTAATATTAATATTAATCCATATTAATATGGGTCAAGCTGTGAGGGGATATTCAGTCGAACAGTCAGGAGTATTATACCACCAAGCACTAGGGAACGAGCGCAAAATTGTGGTTCCTACTAGTAAGCAACAACATATTCTTGAAGAGCATCACAATGTACCTACTGCTGGACACTTGTGTGTTGAAAAAACATTAGAGATGTTGCAACGAGTTTACTGGTGGAAAGGGATTTGCCAATCAGTCAAAGAGTACATTAGAACCTACCTGAAGTGCCAAATGTTCAAGTTAGAGAATTAGGCATCTAAAAGGCTTCGACAAGCGATTCCTATTCCTATAGCTAAGTGGGAGCAAATCATGACTGACTTGGTAATAGATCTACCTGAATCACAAGGATATATAGCAGTTACAGTATCTATTGACTACTCACCAAATTCGTTATTTTTGTTCCTTGTCGGAAAGAGCTGAGTGCAGTGGGATACATGAGGCTATTTTTGGATCATGTGTTCAAAATTGCTGGAATACCTCAAGCCATTATTAGTGATAGAGATCCCCACTTTCTTAGCAAGTTTTGGTAGGAATTATTCAGACTTCTTGGTACAAAGCTGCGTATGTCTACCGCATACCATCCTGAGTCAGATGGTCAATCCAATGCTTCTATACATACTTTAGAGAACTTTTGAGGCCATACGCTGAGGAACATTCAAAGGAGTGGAGTACGTATCTGCCTCTGGCAGAATTCGTGGCTAGAAATGCCATCAACGTGTCCACTAGATACAACCCTTTTTATTTGATGTATGGGCAACATGTTGCAGCTCCAGTAGCTCTCATGGCTGAGAAGACTATGGATACGAAGGTGGAGCCAGTAGATGTTATGGTCAGTAAGATGCAAAAGGTCATCTCTAGTGGAGTACAACAATATTAGAGAGCGCAGGCGAGGGTGGTGACAACGGCCAATAAATGATGTCAAGATATTCAATTCTGGCAAGGTGATGAAGTTGTGGTGCGCACGCCCTTTCTACCATCCACTTCATTTGCACACATTCCTGTGAAGATTTGACAATGTTATTTAGGACCTTTTTAAGGTTGTGAAAGTAATTTCACCAATTGCCTACCAGCTTGACCTACTATCCAACCGGAAAATCCATCCAACATTATATATAGAAAAAATAAAGAAATTTAAGCATAGCATAGAGTTCCAGCAGAGTGTCACTTCACCCCCAGACACCGTCGAGATTGAAGGTTATCTAGAGTATGAGGTTGAAGCAATCATTCGATATCAAAGCTCAACTTCACGAAGACACTAACTTGTAGCCTGGAAGGGGTATGAACTACATGAGGCTACATGGGAGCCCGAGGCCATCCTCAACCATTGCAAAGATCTTCTCGCAGAGTACTCCTTTGGCTACAATGACAAGAAGTGATTGTGAAGATCAGACATAATCGAAGACGGAAGTGATGAACTACATGGGCTATCAGATAGTGGGGCTTCAATCTTGATTTGGTCGTGGTATGGGACACGCTGAGCCGAGTCAGCTGGAATCCTATTGGGTATGCCGTAGCTTTTGCTTGGCTTGTTTTCTGATTGTGTGTTTAGTGGCTGAGGACGTCCACACTTGGTGGGGGGTGGGGGGTAGGGGGTGGGGGGGGGCAGAATTGATATAGAATGTTGAATGCATCCCACAATACAATACTAACAATACATCATAAACAATAAATCATTGTTATATCATCATCATATATGTAACAATCACATGCAGAGGAGTCACTCCTCCCCCCCTCTCTCGACTCAAGCGCACCCGCACCATGAGCACTATTATGCTCAGGCCAAGGCGAATGTTGTGTATACGGCCAAGGGAGTCAAGTAGCCAAGTTGAGGGCTCAGACTGCCGTGAGATGCACATACAAATGTTGCACAACCGTTCTTACAACTGTTGGGTCGAGTGCAATAATACGTAGCCTCTTTCAGCATTTGCCATACCCTAGTACTTGTTACCCCCCATGCCCTGGCAAATCCCCTCCATTCCTAAGAGATGCTCTTTTGATACTTGGAATCTTTTTGCCATACCTGTTGCGTCACCATGTGAGGATGGGGCAGTTAAACAACACTCTGAACGAATGTAGAAACAATTGCGAACGAATGATAGTGGGTGTTGTGTAAACTACTAGAGGCCCCCTAGTAGGGGGTAGCCGGTTTACTCCAGTTATACACTGCAAATTGATAATAAATACAAGATTGTACCTAGATTGGATATAGGAGGCTATTAGCTTTCCAGAGGTCTTTGAATTATCCCAAACAGGTTAGCGGTAGTGGAGTTATAGCTAGTTAAAGTTGTGGTACTTAAGGTTGGGCCCCTACCGTACTCGGGGATGAGATACTATCAATACGAGTATATTCGATACGTTGTTGTGTCGGTTGTGTACCGCTGCGTGCGTGGGTCATGTGACTGGCCCTGCACGATAACCTATAATTCCATTCGTGCCCATTCTCGCCTCCCCGCAGCTGCACCTTGTTGCAAAGGCAGCAGTGCTTTTCCAATGCGGCCGCGTACGCGGTTGCATGGCATATGAATAGACAAGCGCCCCGGAAAGCCCACTGGCCATAAGGAAGAGGGGGCCCCGCGGCCCCATCAGGCGCCTCGGGATGCGCATCGCCCGCAAAACAACCAAAAACCATGCGAGTGGGGCACATAGCTAGTGGGGCAGTTGGAGGGAGCAGCAGTAATAGCTGTAGAGGAGGGATTGATGGAGATGAGTAGCGGGTAGGGACCCTAGGAATGTCAGCGGGCGGACGGGTTCAAGGCGCCGGGCTTGAGGTTTGCAGTTGGGAAATGGGGAAGAATTGGTATTAGTTGTGGGATGGGAACGAACGGGGGAAAGTCAAGGGATTTCATTGGAGATTGGTCAAGCCAGAATAGCTGGGGCGGCTGATGGAATGTTCGATCGAGTTGGCGGCCTTTAGATAGACTAGCCAGCCAGTTTCCATGCAAAGCGCATGAGGTAGTCAGCATGTACAAAACAACACTTCGTGTAACGAGCAATGGGGTTTATGCTGAAGCCACGGACGGTGAAGGCAAGGGGTAACCGACCGTGTGACTGCGCCACCAACCTCCGAGGGGCCGGCCAGCTATGTTACAATTCGTTTGTACTGGCATAGCAACCGCAACTCAACCCGGTACGCCCCAATGCCCGCAATCAGCCCACCACGTTATGCCCCAAGGGCCACATTCCCATCAAACGACGTGGCCCCTCCACGCGCCCCTCCTTGCTCCGTCTCGCCGCGGCTCATGGCAGACCGCCAGACCGGCAGCCCCTAAGCAAACGCACGCGTCCAATGGCAACTTGGGTGCTCCTCAATATTTCAAGGCGTTTTCTGGGCGTGTCTAGCTCATGTGTCTCCATGTGATGCGCTGCCCCGTATTGGCGTTGTGCTCAACATATTTACAATATCGTAGTGGACTCTTTGGGCGTATGATGAAGTTGCCATAGTCTATGTTTGTCATCGAAGTCATCTCCCTGCGTTCTGAGTGCTTTGAGCTCACTATACTAAAAAAATATGTAGCACACCTGACTGATGACTAGGGGTTTTCCCACCTCGTTGAGCGCCAACCTCCTTGATGATGATCAGTGTGGCTAAGATGCTGAGGCTGTCGACATCCTCTCTGCACCATATCTAGGCCTCACGGGTCGCCAGCTGAGTGATATCATTAGTTTACTAACTTTTGGATGAGCCCCATAGATTGGCGACCCGAGCACACGTTTTGAAAAGCTGAGTGTCTCCAGACAGTCAATATGGCACTTAAGCGACAAGTGCATGGGAAACAAGTATTGGAAGCAGTGGATAGTGTACAAGGCATTTGTCAAGATTCAGCCAAAACACGACCGCAACGCTAAAGCAATATTACCCTCAACGTCTCGAAGATTCTCAGCATAAACAGATTGTGGTGTTTGCCAGCGAGCACGCACCAATACTGCTACAAGTTCGGTTGGATGAGAAACTGTGTTACCGTATGATGTTACAAACTGCATTATCGTACATAGTGCTCGTCTTTGCGCGTATGGGCACACAGACGCATTACCCTAAAGCCTAGTACCTCTATTTTGCCGCAGGACCACGACATCTCACAAGCCTCAGGGCCAAGTTCGCGCAGTCCCTGCCGATTTCCTGATGTCTACAACCACAGGCAGTTTCAAGTTTCGGGCCCTCTCAACACCTTCTCCAGACAGAGAACAATGCCGAATGTTTGCAAGCAGCCGCTTCCTCAAAATCGAGACTGCATCATGGCGTCCGCATGAGCTTCTAGCCCGACTACCCCACCACTGTTGTACAGCTTGACTGTTGTAAAAAGCAAACGCGCACTTGATGGAACACCCGCACAGCTTCCAAACATTGCAAGAGCCCTCAGGAGCTCGTTACGAGTACAGGAGGCCAGAAAATCTCTTTTCTGGTCCTTGTGGCGGGCACGAGATATCCCAAGCCCTCCTCGCCACGTTGCCTCCGTGCGGCGTCAGACCCACAACGGTCGAGATTCATGGAAACAGACCAGCATGGCCTGAGGCCGGCGCGTCATCGGGCGCCAGGCACAAAGACGTTGATGGTGTTGATGACGTCGCTGCTCATGTCGAGGACTTCAGGCCAGAACAAAAAGTGGGACGTCACATGCAGGAATCCCAACGTGTACACTGTGCGCATCCACGCCGGGATTCGCGCCATCACATTCCGCACCGCCTTTTTCCTGCCCACTGTGTCTTTTGCCAGCCTCTCGCCCAGGACGGCGCACCCATTGACGACAAAGTACAAAAGATTCTTCCATCCGAACGCCCCGCTAATGTACATGATGAGCAGCGCGTGCATCACACCGCTGACCACAAATGTGGCAAGCACACCGATGGCCTGGCGAGCGTGGGTGGCGTGAGAGTGGCCAGTAGTGACACCCTTGGTCCCAGGGCGCCCAACGAACCTCCCTGCAGTGCATTGACAGTACACGTTCCTTCTTCAAACATCTGAGCTGTGTCCTTCCACTCTCAGAAGAATGCGGCTGAGCACGGGACGCCTATGGGCAGTCAGCTGTGCAGGTGTCTCAAGATCGACGCACTGCCATTCCCTGCCAATTCTAACCCATTCTTGGCTGCAGGCATACCTGGAATCATGCATATCCCAATTGCAACAGCATTGGGAAGGAAATGCAAGGGACACCAAGATATGAGTCAGTTCAAACGAAAGTTGTGAAGTGACAAGTTCAGCAGGGTATTTCAACGTGGCTTCTGGTACGATGATGCAACAAGTGTTTCCAGTGTCCTTGTCTGAATATGAGTACTGTTTCAATTTGCCGCATCATTCGCTGCCTAATGCATTCATATCATCAACCAGGCATTGTGAAACAGGTGAAAGTGCCTCAATATTATGCAATATGAACCTGCTGCTGCACATTTCTTCGATTTTTGGTGCATGAAAGTTTGATTGTCAACAGCATCTGTGAATGCATTCTTCTATTTTACTGCAAGTTCGTTTCTTCCAGCACCTTGCCCCCATTTCCTGGCCAGTACAGCCAGTTGGCGCAACAAAGCACCACACAAGCACGTGCCCTCAAATTGGTAAAACTTGGCATGCCCACAACCGTCAACTTTGATTGTCAATGTTGCTACTGTTGCATCCTTGGGTGCCTCACCTTCGCATATGGGCCAGTAAATCATGTCCCTGAGCATCTTTCCTACAACAAGATTCCACCGGCTGCCCCAGAAGTCAGACAGAGACGTGCAGAGCCAGGGTCTCTCAAAATGTGGCATTAACTCCAAGTTGAGCACAGCGATGGATATGGAGGCCAGCACATCCATCACCATGGACACCATGAAGAAGAGTATCCACACAAGGGCGACGTCTCGAAGCAGCGGGAAGCGATCCCAAATCTTGAGTGTTATATAGGCCAGAGTAGTGACAAGGCAAACCTGCAGAAGGGAAAATGTGGATCGAGCACTCTCAATATCATGTCTTTCCATAGCAGTGTGCAGGGATGGGGCAGCACCGTAGTGCTGGAATACTGGAAGGTGGAGAGTGTGCCTTTTGGAAGCTGGCTACGATGCTCAATGCCAAGGTACTGGAATTCCGGTCTGTAACTTCGCCAACGTTCCTGCTGCAATCCTTTGGCACTGCACATGGATTGCGATCAAGGGAATTGTCACGATGGCCAGGTCTGCAAATTGACGCATCAAGGATATGTTTATGGATGGTGGTGTGAAGTTGGCGCTGATCTGCATCAATTTGAGGCATTGCGGCACCCAACCATGGTAGGTTAGTGGTGTGTGGACCCTACACAGGAATGGATTGTTGACACGGAGACTTGCATTGGACAGAATGTACTTAAACAGATTAGAGTTCACCTACCAGCATTGAAAATTGCTCGCATAGCAGTTCAGAACCTTGATTCCCAATTTGCGCCGCAAAAGATTACCGGCGTACCGTCGCAGGTTGGAGTTATCCAAGGGCGCAGAGCCAACGATCTGAATATGCATTCATTCCACCACCATGTTAATCCCCAATCAGTGCCAACCGTCGTGTGGGAATGGAAAAACCGCGAGGGAAATCGCGTTGCAGCAAACGGTGGCTTTCGCGTCGACCGCGGCAACCGCGTCCCTTCCCACGAAGCTTCATTCGACGATCCGTCATCCTTTCGCAACCCGACCGCAAGTCCTTCAGCGCGGCCACGCGCAGTCCCCACCGCGCCCGCTCCCGCCTCTTCCACCCACCTTCAAGCTCCCCCTCATCAAGAAATCCTTGGTGGTCCCTCCCGACTTGCTCCACCTCGCCCCCTTCGCACCTTCCGCGTCGGCCCCGCCATCCCTCCCTCCCTTTCCGGCCCGGATGTTCACAGGCAGCAGGAGCAGCGCCGCGAACACGACCGGTGGCGTCCCCTCCCCTCCCCTCCTCCCCACCAGCGGGCCCCGATCAAGCGCCAGGCCCGCCACCTTCCAATTTACCAGCCACAGGTAGCACACCACGCAGTAGTCGTACAGGATGATCTCCTTGGCGGGGTCGAACAGCGCCGGCGCCAGGAACGTGGCGGCGAAAATGGGCGACGCCGCCAAGAGGCGCGGCAGGCCGGGTGGCAGCCACCATGATGTCGCGCGCGCCCACGCCACGAGAAAGGCGTTGAGCAGCAGGAAGGCGAACAGGCGGGCCGGCAGCGGCAGCAGCAGGAGTTCGACGCCCATGTTTGCGAGCCAAAGCTGTCGTGTGGGTCCGGTGTGGCGCGGAAGAAGGTGGCCGGCTGCCGCACACGTGTGCGCCAGTGCAGCGCCCGTCAGCGCAGACGGGGACGGATGACTAACCGGGTGGCGCGTCCGTCCGATGGGAAAGGCCTCCAATGGTGGAGGCGACCAGGCGAGCAGGGACCGTCGGTTCCCGTGCTGCAGATATTTAGACCAAGCCAGCGGCCACAATCCGCGTCCCGCCCCGCCGCTGGACAGCTCTCTTGTGGCGACGTGCGGCTGGGTCACCGCCTCTCCGCGTTGACGGCTGGTCCCTGTGAATATGGCGCTGGCGGGATGGCGGTGCTTGGGCGTGTCGGGGTCCGGGGCTGCGCTCTCGCGGGCGATGCACACCAAGGTGGGGCCCCAGGCTGAGGGCATTGTAGCGATGGGCGCCAAGCGGCCCGTGAGGTCGAATCTGGTTGTTTGAGAACTGCTGCGGGCTTCAACGGCGCCCCGGTGCTGCAGGGGCCTTGCTTGGGGGTCGTTTGTCGCGACGGGAGTCGACGGATGCCCGGATTGTTGCGCTTTGTTGATTTTAGGGATGCGCTGTTGCGTGGGGGGCAACGGGAGCGTGGTTTTCTGCTGTCGAAGTTTGGGGCCGGTGGGGTTGGCGGTGTTTTCAAAGTCGTGCGCTGCCGTTCTCGTTCGAAGGATTTTCCGGCCTGTGCGAGCCCGCTGGGTCGGGTCACTGACAACTGACGCACGGCTCATGGACAAGGTTGCGGCAATTAAAGGGTGCGCTGACGCCGGCCAACTCATTCCCTGTCCCTTTCCATTGCCGTCAAATGCGGGCGCAGCTCGTGGTCACTCAAACGAGGATGCTCAAGGGTGGGCGTCCAAGGCGCGTGAGGTTGATGCCTGAGAGCGGAAAAACGGGCAGCTCACGTGCACAACGCTGTACGCACCTGCTATGGGGCTTAATGCTGGCAGCGTGTGCTGCTGTGCGGGTGGCCCCCGTTCCTTGTGCACATTTTCGATCCCCGCAGCAGAGGTTTGGTCATAAAGAGCCGAATGCAGGGGAATGCCAGCGTCTCCGCAGAAATGTCTCAAGCTGTGGTCTGTGCGCTCAAGGTGGAAACCATGTATGTTGGAGCGAAGCTGCCGATCCTGTCGTCCGCTCCCAGTGAGACTGAGGCGGACCAACAGCAGCAACAGCAACAACAGCTAAAGGAGGGTGCCTCGACAAAGATGCCTCCCGGACGAGTGGACCCTTTGGAGGGAATGCCACTAGTTTGGCTCGCTGAGTACTTGGCAGACCGCTTGATGCCTGCACTTCAAAATGTTACAGCTGCGGAGAAGGCAAGGCAACGGAGAGAGCGAACCAAGCCTGTTCAGGTGTTTGAGCCACCTACTGTTCCGCACTTTCTGCCTTTGACCGCATGGTAAGTGGCTTCTGTGTGGCCCCACGATGTGCAGTGTTGCTTCTGCAGCAGGAATAGTGTTCGTGCCAACAATTGTGGATCTGAACAGCTCCTGACATATCCAAAGGGGGAACATGGGCAGTTACAGCAATAGTGCAATGGGAACGATCTACTGTATGCAGATAAGTCTATTCTGTGAGGGCTTACGCCTTATCACAGTGACTGCAGCTTCCGACTCTGTGCACGGTGGGAGGGACAGGGTGGAATCTAGCAAGCGGACAGCCTGCATAAAGTTGGAAAGTTCGTTTCCTTCTTCTCGCTTCTTTAGTTTGCCTTGTTTCTGTGTATTCTGCACTTACCACTAGCACCTGCAATGCCGCCAGGGCTGCCAAGGCTCCAGAGGTCAGGAATACCCTTGTCGTAGACGAGTCAAACAGGCAGAAGGCGCGGCTCTCCTGGTATCATCCCGATGATACGGTGAGTTAGCACACTGTCTATCTGTCTATTCCTGTCTTGCGCCTTGGGAATGCACCTTGCTGCCTCTAGTGTATCCAATATGCTTATGCGCATGGGTTTTGGTTGGGGTTGCCAGGGGGCGGGCCGCCGTCTTGTCTCGCGATTGTTGTACTATTCTGCACATGGTGAGTAGAGCAAGCTTGGCTGCGCTCTGGCTGTGCTCACTTTAAAGATGGGAACGCTGGAATGGCAAACATATGATGAGCTTGTTTGTATGATTACAGATGGTGCCGCGCAACTGGTTCAGAGGAGGGCTCTTGCAAGATATCATGTACTACCGACCGTTCATGCCAAAAAAGGAGTGAGTGGAGCATCATGCCAGAAGGCACCCACAGTTTTTGTCTCCACAGTATGCTGCGACTGTGAATGGACTCTGGGGCACAGCATACCAACGCCTTTTCAGGCGTGTGCAGTTTTGAAACCGCCCAAGAGCAGTATGCTGTTGCAGTGCCATGGTGACGTTCACCATGCAAGTGGCTGGGACATGAGCTTCATCACTCGTGCCCTTTCACAATGAAACCTGGGAGGATGCCCTGCCAGATGTGTACAGTTTTGGATCCAGTGCACAACATCAGTTGCTGGATGTCCAGGGATGCTCATCGAGCATCAGTGAGGAGTATGCTTTTCTTTCCTTTTCATTTTGAGCACCATCGTGGTGTTTGAGAGCAGAGCTCGGATGCAGAATCAGTGAATTTAGGCATCTGATATGTGAACAATGTACACAGAGTTTTTGGTGGTGACCTTTTTGCGTGCGAGTTGCCCTCAACGTGGATGATTCTGGTGGGCTGTAGAATGTGGATGTGTCAAAATGGCAGTCGTTCCAGCGGAGCGATGGAAATGGATTAATGGATGATCAGCGATTGTCTGATGGTGGATATACAAATGGACTGCAGCCTGCTTTGCATTTCGAGGCGATTCGTACCCAGCGACAACCAAATGTGGGTTGGACCTAGACGAGTCAGTGAAACACGTAGGGTGTTCTGCCAAGGTGGATGATGTGGTGTTGCGTTATTATTGCGGCTGAAGGCCGTATTGAACTCTGAACGGAAGACAGCGATATTCATAACATACCACGTGTAATTGCATTTGACCCTGTGCTTGGAGAGTTGTCCGGCCTTTGAACCTTGCTGCTGCTGGTGCCTGCATGGTTCATGACATTTGTTAGGCGTTTCACACATGCTTATGTTTACAACTGGACGCCATGGCATGCATGTGACCCCTTCGTGGGGTTGTCCATTCGCCACCACTGTGACAGCTGAGGAGCTGGAACAAGCTCTTGCGGATTACCTGCGTTGTTGGGCGGGTGCAGTTCAAAATGGCTTCTTCAGACTGAGGATTCCAGAAACAAGGCCTTGGGACCTTCCTTGATTCGAACTGTCTCCGTATTGATTGTGCGCCATGATGTTTTGCCACACAACTCTGCGGAACACAGAATCCGACTGCTCTTTCTTAAGTCTGATGCTCGCTCTTTAGGGCATCATGGTGGTACAATGCGCGCCACTCGGCGCCACCCATTGCCAACTGGCCTTCGCACAGTGTCCTGCCAATGCATAAGATTCACTGACACAGCACCCTGATGTTCAAGGCTGCCCCTATCGCCTGCCATTGCTTCAAGTACCCTCTGTTCAATCCGCCATAATCGTTGTGGCGTTGCCTAGTTGCCTTCCCTGAACACTTTTCCCCTTCTCCACCACATTTTCGATTTGACAATTTCAAATGACCCTGGGCTCCGCTGGTCGGCCGGAATGGGCACGTCTTGGTGTCCAAGCCTTTCAAGAGACCCGTAGCTACCAGATCACGTGCACCAGACAATCACGCTTCTGATTCCATGTGGTGCATGTATGTGGACCTCACTCAGCCTGCCACACTAGTTGGGTAGATCAGTCATGCTCCGTTGCCTCACACACCTCCACCGGACAGTGCACAGCCTTTGCCGCAGCTCTATGCGCTCGTTTGTTCAAGGCTCACCTCTATTGCAACATCTGCGCCCCACAGCCCAGCAGTACTGATAGTAAGAGCGCTGCCGATTTAAAGAATGCGTCGTTCACTTCGAGGCACTGCGTTCGGCAACGAGCGAGTCAAAGTGCGACCATTCGCTGCAGTGCACAGGCATGCAACAAAACTTGGAACGCGTTTTGCTGCACGACCAAGAGAGTCAAGCCATTGCCGCCTTGGTGCGCACGGTCCCCAAAGGGACATTGAAGTGTTTGGTTCGACGGAGTCAGAGCGCATGTGGCCTTTTAAGGACGAAACCAAGAGAAGCCACAACAGAGTCGAGCTCTCCCGAGGTGCCTAGATCAGCGCCTGTCCGAGAACCGGTTGCCATTGATAGTTCCATCATGAAATTCTCGCAGCGCGCCGGCCCACCAATGGCAGAATAACCGCCAGCCATGTTCCAAAACTCAGGAGATTGTAAAACGATCATTGGTACAAAATCACAGTGGCGCCAGCTGTCCAAACCGAGCGATCTTGAACGGATGATGTGGTCACCTGAGCCAGGGATGCATCAAACAGTGTTGAAGTGTGATAATGACCAAGTGAGTGAACGTTCAAGATCCGAGTGCCGGCTTCATCGAAGGTGCCAGAACATTGCCAAGATGACAAAGCATCACCAACACAGTTTTGGATGTGATGTCCCATGGCCTCAAACACTTGCTTGATGCCCCCGGTGACATCCTGCGCCTGCGGGCCTCCTGGGGTTTGATTGAACGCTCAACTGAACTTTACCTGGATCTTTCATCCGGGGAGATTGGACCTGCCCTGCGCAAGCTGGGTGCTGAGTTGGGCTGCCTTTGCCAATCAGCGCACGGCGACTTCTACAGCAAGGGAAACAGGCGGACAACGATGCGCTTCTGCAAACCCACCCCTGCACCCGTCCAACTTGGCAACCGCCGTCAACAGACGGAGGCGGACATCGCTACCTGGAGCGACGCAAAGTCGGCTTTGTTGGAGAACCTTCACGCCCACCGCCAGCTGCCGCGGAGTAGGATTATCACGCTGGCGGGGCACTCTTTTTGGATCGCGGCCGTCGCCCACGGCAGGCCCCCCGTCCAGTACTGTGCCCACGCACCATCAACGCCTCAAACCGCCCCCACGTGGAAGCGCTGGCGGCCTCTGCTCATGACGGTCGCCTAGAAAAGTGCGCACAGCCCGCCCCAACCCCACCACACCCGTCTTGCATCCCCTTCCCGCCCTGCTGCGCTGGTGGCCTCTCGGCCCTCTGCCCGCAGGCGCACCCGCCTCGAGGAACGCAGGGATGCAGACCGCCATGACGCCCCAGGTGCGCCGCGGGGACGTGCAGACTTCGGGGTTCGACCGTCAATGGCGTCGGTTGGCCATCTGCTGACTCGCGGTGCTTCGTGCTTGTTTCCAGGTCGCTGGCTCCGCCATGCACTCATCGATCGTTGGACGCCGCGTGGGCGGATCGCCTGCCACCCAAGGCGCTCGCCTCGGCCGCGAGGTATAGAGCATTGGGGGTGATTTGTTGGATGTCTGCTCGGCAGCGTCGGACGAGTCACCTTTCCGGCGGCTGGTCGCGTTTTTTGCTGTGAGCTGACGATTGCTGCCTTGTGCTGTGCCAGGCGCGCGTCGTGGTGCGCGCTGATGCCTCCCGGAAGCCGAAGAGCAGGGGAGAGAGCGGGGGCACTAAGGACCAGAAGGGGCGCTGGAGGGGCATGGACGAGGACATATCCGATGACCAGGTGAGGGGAACGGCTGTTCGGGCCGGTGGCCCGCGCTGTCATCGAGGCGGGATCCCCCCGGCTGCGCGGATGAAAATTTGTTTGTGGCGAAAATTAATTTGGCGGCGGATAGATCTGTTGGGTGTGCCCGGCCGCTTGTTGGGATCGAGGGCTTTGCGGCAGCGGTGTAATGACCGGCGGGACCGTCAAGGGGCGAATGTGCCGTCGACCGGAACAGTCCAGCAGACGTGTAGAAGTCGTGCTGCTTTTGGACTGTGCCCAGGCCTGTGGTTGCCGCCTTGAGCGGGGCCTTTGTACGCTTGCCCGCGGCTGGTCTTAACACGTCATACGTCTAAGAAGTGGATGCAGCGACGCGCCTAGGCTTGTCCACCTCCCGCCGTGTTGGTGACGCGCCCAAGGCAACCATTGTCCCGCCTCGTCCTATTGGGAATCTGCCAATTTTTGCAGCACCATCCCATTTTCGTTTTCCCAATCCGGCAGCCAATTGACCGCTTCGTGTGCCTGTGCCCACAGCAAGACATCGCGCGCGGGCGTCTCATGGTGGACAGCCTCTTCCAGGGTGCCACGGGCCTCGACGGTACGCACAACGCCGTGTTGTCCTCCGCCGAGTACTTGGCCACCGCCGCGCGCTCCTTCAACAACATCGAGGACGGCTACTACATCTCCCCCGCTTTCCTGGACAAGATAACCATTCACATCGCCAAGAACTTCATGGAGCTGCCCAAGATCAAGGTTCCCCTGATTTTGGGAATCTGGGGAGGCAAGGGTCAGGGCAAGACCTTCCAGGCCAACCTGGCGTTCAAGAAGTTGGGCATCGCGCCCATCGTCATGTCGGCTGGAGAGCTGGAGTCTGGCAATGCTGGAGAGCCCGCCAAGCTCATCCGCCAGAGGTACCTTTCTGCTGTTTTGCGTTTTGCTCCAATTTTGCTTATTGCTTGGCTGCCTCTGCCGGAACATGACTCAGCAACGCTCTTCACCAAGGCAATAAACTGGGTGGCTTTAGACGGTGTTGCAGTCAGCCCTGTGTTGCCCTTGCCAACTGCCTGCGTAAAGGGCGTTTGCAGGTTGGCAAGTCCGCATTGAAAAATGTTGATAGAGCTTGTGGTGACTGGTACCTGGCTGGCTTCATGTTCGTCTCTGTTGCTAGGCGGGTCTCAGTTGCTAGGCGGGCTGCAAAGGCACTGACAGGACATTCGTTGCTGGGTGTGCACAGGTACAGGGAGGCGTCTGACACCATTGCCAAGGGCAAGATGTGTGCCCTGTTCATTAACGACCTGGACGCTGGTGCCGGTCGCATGGGTGACACCACGCAGTACACTGTGAACAACCAGATGGTGAACGCCACCCTCATGAACATCGCTGACAACCCTACGAACGTGCAGCTCCCGGGGGTCTACACCCAGGAGGAGATCCCGCGGGTGCCCATCATCTGCACGGGTAACGATTTCTCCACCCTTTATGCCCCGCTCATCCGTGATGGGCGTATGGAGAAGTACTACTGGAACCCAACCCGGGAGGACAGGATCGGGGTGTGCATGGGCATCTTCCAGGTAAGCAACAACACATTGCCCTGCTGCAGTACGGATGCCAAGCCTGCAGAAAGTTTCTATTTCATGCACGGTGGCCAATGGTATGATGTGTGTGACAGGGGTGGAAGTGTGTGATACAGGTCACCGAAAGGCAACACACATGTGTGTGCTCCCAGTTTGCGTCAGGTCCACAGAACGGCAGTGCAGTTGCTCAGGTGTTCTTCCATACTTGGCCATCACCAAGAACTGGTGGGTTATGGTGATAGTAGTTTGTGCTTGAATCATTTCTGTGGATTGGAACGTGCAGGAGGACAAGGTTAACCGTGGCCAGGTGGAGAAGCTGGTGGACGCCTTCCCAGGCCAGTCCATTGACTTCTTCGGTGCCCTCCGCGCCCGGGTGTATGACGACAAGGTGCGAGACTGGGTCGAGGACCTCGGCATGGAGAACCTGGGCAAGAGGCTCGTGAACTCCAAGGAGGGCAAGGTCACGTTCGAGAAGCCCGAGATGACCTACGAGACCCTTCTCAAGTACGGCAACTTGCTGGTCGATGAGCAGGACAATGTGAAGCGCGTGCAGCTGGCAGATTCGTACCTCTCTGGCGCCGCCCTGGCTGGAAAAAGCGGTACCTCCATTCCTGAGGCCTACGCGGAGAAGTGAACTACGCTCGCACCATGAAGAAAATTTCCTGAAGGGGTTGTGCTGTGGGATTTTTGATTGCTCTTATCGCTGCGTCCCTTGGGACGCATTCGTTCCAGCTTCTTGACCAGCATTGACATTTTGGATTGTTTCAAATTGCATTACACGTGGTTTTGGGTATATGGAGCGGGGTCAATCTGCCGGCTGTGCCCTGAGTTTTTGGGGCTGCAGTTTGGCAGCGTGATTGCCGCCTGTCTGGGTACTTGCCTCGCTGATTCCGAGAAAGTGTGTTGCGCAGCCCTTGTTTTCCCAGAGGTTCCCGGGAGGTCAATTGCGGAGCCTTTTTGTGCGAGGACTGCGGAGCAGCCAGATTTTTGATCGTTCACATGTAATCATGAGGCTTGAACACCCTAATCTGGTGTGCGGATGGACCGCGAGGTCTATGCAGTGGTACACGTCGTTCCCGCGCTCTGTCCGATCAACCAGCTCTTGAAGGACATGCCGTTGGTGCGATTCAAACGGCTCACTTTGGAGTGCACGAGGGAAGCACGAATCCGCGATCGCCGATGCTTCAACGGCGTTGGCACACGGCCACATGCAGGCCACAGCCACACATACTACTCAGGCCTACATATTTGCTTGCCCGGCTCAAGGTTCGAGCACGATTTTTCCTTGCCGCGGGGGCTCCAAACAGGACGGGATTTCCGGATGCCTTCATAACCACTCGTCCACCTATTCGACCCCCCAAGGACTGTCATCAATCAGAAACGCCCGAACGACGAACCAGCCACGTACCACCTCATCACTAAGATGCAGCCAACGTGTGGAACATGCCATCATCATATGATCACTTTCAACCCCCCCCCACTGCAAAATGCAAGTACAATTTCTTGCAAGCCAAAGTGTTAAATTCGCCACTAGTCATTGGGCCACGTCACCCAATGAGATCTGACGACCAACCCATGTTCCCGTAAACGCCTCATAACGATTCGTGAGTGTTCCGTGTGTTCTTCCACGTTTCGGCTGTACACAAGTATGTCATCCAAGTAGATGACAAGGAATGTGTCTGCCACATTGCTGAAGACCTGATTCATGTAGCGCTGGAAGAAACTCGGTGCATTGCATAATCCGAATGGCATTACTAAGTATTCGTAGCTTCTGTGTCATGTGACAAAGGCTGTCTTTGGTATATCTTCTTCACTTATCCGTACCTGGTGGTAGCTGGATCGTAGGTCCATCTTGTTGAAGACGGTTGCTCCCACAAGCTTGGCCATCAGGTCATCAATTCGGGGTAGGGGGCTATCGATCTCTGACACTTCTTTTGTTCAATGTTGTATAATCGATGCACATTCATAGCCCGCCATCTTTTTTCTTGGCGAATAATACGGGGCTCCCCATGGTGAATTGCTCGGTTGAATCAGCCCAGCATCTAGTAGTTCCCTAATCTACCGCTTCAATTCGTCATTTTCCTTGAGAGAGTGTTACGGTCCAGGCCGTGAGGCTCAGTGGGAGCAGCCACATGTGGCAAAAAGGGTATAAATACCTATGGGAGAACTCCAGTACAAGGGTGTTGATGAGGCGTTGTGGCGAACGCCAAAATCGGCCCACCTTGCCACCTTGCCGTGAGTTTGAACCCTGCCTAAGGCAGGTTGTTCCACCAGGGTTTTTTCCACGAAAAGCCTAAAGTACTGGTGTCCCGACCCACCAAGCACGAAAGCGTAACAGAGAGAGTCGATACGCAGGTGTATGAGCTAGCTTAGCATCGGGCAACGATTCGATGCTATGTTCTCGCCTCCCTTTTGGCAGTAATCCCAGC